CATCCATCCATCCATCCATCCATCCATCCATCCATCCATCCATCCATCCATCCATCCATCCATCCATCCCCTGCCCCAGGTCCCGGACCCCGCACTAGCCCGGGTGAGATCCCCCTGAGGGCTCTGTGTGGAGGGGGGCTGCAGGGGGGTTAGGGGGCAGGGGTGTGGGGTTACCGGGGTGCAGGACAGTGGGATGCAGGGAAGGATAACGGGGTGTAGGTGGGTGATGCCCACAGGAGACACAGCTCGTCCATCCCAGTGCTGCTCTGGCCACCCCTCCTCATCCCCCACCCATCAGCTGCCCCCCCTCCCAGGGGCAGCACGTGGAGGGCAATTCCACCCCCTGGCTCAGGCTCTGCCCTCCCAACTGCCATCCCAGCCCCACACCAGCACCACCCAGGACCCCAAGGCGTGTGAGAGGGGCAGACCCCGTCCTTGTGCCCCCTCATCCCAGAGCTGGATCCCAAGGTGCTTCCCCACCCTACCCCAAGCTGGGTGTCCATGCGGGTGCAGCACAATTCCCATTTGGAGCTTTCACCGGGGAAACAGGAACTGGGATCAAGAGGCCACTGGGCGGGCCAGCACCAGCCACAGAATGTGGGTGCCTGGGGATGTGGGATTGCCCAGGGCTGTGGGATATCCAGGGATGTGGGATGCCCAGGGGTGTGGGATGCCCAGGGGTGTGGGATGCCCAGGGGTGCCCAGAGATGCCCAGGGGCTTGGGATATCCAGGGATATGGGATATCCAGGGATGTGGGATGCCCAGAGATGCCCAGGGCTGCCCAGGGCTATGGGATACCCATGACCACAGGGTGCCCCATTTGGTGGAAGCCACTCAGGGTTGCAGACAAGCCRGGTCAGCCGGATTTATTGAGAACGGTTGTGGAGGGATAAAAATATTTCCACTACTCTATAAGAATTTATAAACCTATACTCTCTGATCCGTTAATAAACGCCTCTAGGACCGTCATGCCAGGGGAGGGGCTTCTGTACGAAAATAGCGAGATTAAAAAAAGGAAAGCACTAAATATTCCCTGCGGGGCCCTGCCCGGGGAGGGGATGGGGGGCTCTGCCCGTGGGGGCCACAGGACCCCCGGCTGGGCACGGGCACGGTGGGCACAGGCTGGGTGCTGCCCTGGCACCCTACAGCCCCCACCCACCGAGCCCCGGCCGGGCACAGCCCCTGCCAGCCACGCCCCACCCGGGGGGCCCTGCTCGGGGGGGCCCTGATGGGGACAGAACACACCCAAAACACGCCCGCGAGCTCCCAGTGCTCCCAGTGATCCCACTGCTCCAAACCCTGCATCCTCACCATCCCCTGCCAGCCGTCCCACACCCAGCAGGGCTTGGGATCCATCTCCCCAGGGACACTGCAAGAGGTGGCCAGGCCAGGGGACACACAGGGGGGCTCTGCCGGGAGCTGGGGACATCCTGGGGAACACAGCACAGAGCCCTGCAGGGTGGTGGCATGGCTGGGGACATCCTGGGGGACACAGCATAGAGCCCTACAGGGTGGTGGCATGGCTGGGGACATCCTGGGGGACAC